TCTTTCCCTCTCTTCTGAAGAAAATAATGGTCCTAAGTAAATATATGCTGAAAGAGCGTTCAACTTGCCTAGGGACGCATAGCTAAAGCGGACCTTGGATTTGAACCCAAGCCTGCCAGGTTCCAAAGCCCGTGCCGTCTCCACAACACACTGCCAAGCAAAACCCAAACTCTTAAACAGCAGGGGAACTAGATGGCTTATGTTTCATATATGACACTAAATGAACTGACTTTCTACTTGCATATGAACCTTAACAAGAAGTTGGGGGGCAGGGAGGGGTCACAGTGAGCCCTTTTTTCGGGTAGCATTTCTCCTCCTCTCCCACCAGGCTAGAAATGAGCTCAGGGCAGGAATGAGAACGAGGGAAAGCAGGCCCACAAGTGCGTCCACATCGCTCCCAACTCTTTGCGGAACGTCTGCCTCACAGCGCGCCCCGAAACCCAACAAACCCCGACGCCCTAACCGCCGCTCCAACCGCCGTCTCACATTGTCATGGTTCCCTTAGGACCCAAGTTGGCCCGCAGCACATCCTGCAGCCCTCGGGCGGCGCATATATTGACTGCCAAGGCCGCCTGGGCCTGCGCCACCTCAGCCTTGGAGTTTATAGCTTTTACCGCAGCCCTAGCCAGACGGTAGGAAGAAAGCCGCCGCCGCGTAAAGCGGCCTCAGCGGCTATTCTGAGGGAACTCCTGGAGCTACGGCTCATGCTCCTAAGCCTCAGCCAATCCGCGCCCGGACAGGAAGTAACGTCATCTGGCGTCGGCGGGACGGAAGCCAGAATCGGCTCGGGTCGGGTCGCAAAGATGGCGTCCTCCGCCTCCGCTCGGCCTGAGGCGGGGAAGCGAGTGGTTAATCAGGACGAACTGCGGCGGCTGATGAAGGAGAAGCAGCGTCTGAGCACCAACCGTAAACGGATAGAATCTCCATTCGCGAAGTACAACCGCTTGGGGCAGCTGAGTTGTGCCCTGTGTAACACCCCGGTTAAGAGCGAGCTCCTGTGGCAGACTCACGTCCTGGGAAAGCAGCACCGAGAGAAAGTGGCCGAGCTGAAAGGCGCGAAGGAAGCCGCCCAGGGACCGTCCGCCAGCGCAGTGCCTCAGTCCGCCAAGAGGAAGGCGCCGGACGCGGAGAGCCAAGATGCCAAAAGAGCGAAGGCCTCCCTGGTGTCTCAAGTACAGCCCTCCACTTCCGCTTTGCCCACCAACTTTGACAAAGCCGGAAAGGAGTCCACTAGGGCAACCCTCAGTAAGGCTTCGGGACTCGGTTTACTCCCTGATTATGAAGATGAGGAAGAGGAGGAGGAGAAAGAGGAGGGAGGAGGAGGAGAAGGGAAAAGAGGGGATGTCTGTAAGCATCCGGCCAACGCACAGGGCAAGGAACACTCACTTTCCTCCGCGCGGGAGGCAACCGGTAGTAGGCTGCCAAGCGATTTCTCGGACACAAATCCTCCCAAGGCCCCTTTAATTCCTCATTCAGGGTCAATTGAGAAAGCAGAAATACATGAAAAAGTGGTGGAAAGGAGAGAAAACACCGCGGAAGCATTACCGGAAGGGTTTTTTGACGACCCTGAGATAGATGCGAGGGTACGAAAGGTTGATGCCCCAAAGGATCAGATGGACAAAGAATGGGACGAATTTCAAAAAGCCATGAGACAGGTCAACACTATTTCCGAAGCCATAGTTGCCGAAGAGGATGAGGAGGGACGGTTGGACCGGCAGATTGGGGAGATCGATGAGCAGATAGAGTGTTACCGTCGGGTGGAAAAGCTGCGGAATCGCCAGGATGAGATAAAAAATAAGCTTAAAGAGGTTCTGACCATAAAAGAACTGCAGAAAAAGGAAGAGGAGAATGTTGACAGCGATGATGAGGTAGAACTACAGGATTTGTTGTCTCAGGATTGGAGGGTGAAAGGGACTTTGTTATAGGGTTTCAAAGACCCAAGAGTTCTACATCCTCTACGACTGTATAAAAAGTTCCACCTCTCAATACGATATCGTTTACTCCATGCCTAGAGATTTGGTAACTTGACTGGGTTGTCGAGATACAATGAGCCTGTGAAGATACTGCTTTGGAAAATTGGTGTAAAATATTTTTGAGGTAAAGGTGTTTTTGAAGTTTTCGAAGTATTACACTCAAATGCCCACTTTTTCACACACTTATAGATCCAAAGTTTGGGTTGTAAAAGCTGTAAGCTGTAAATATTGTACATATTAAATATATATTTACTTAAAAATTATGTTTTGAAAGTTATAAGTTAATAGAAGTCAGACCAACAGACAAGCTTTTAGATGAAAACCAAGTGTGGCATTTAGAATGTATATGGCTTTTTCTTTTCTGACTCCCTAAATCAAACTCAAGAGACTCCCTAAATCAAACTCAAGAAGGTTGTCGCCGGGAGGGGGGTTGTTTTGTTGTTGTTTTTAAGAACACTCATGTAAGTCATTCAGGGCTAATCAGGTCTCTGTTTCAAAACCGTGTTCCAGGAGAATATGGTGAAAAATATATGCCAAGTATGACCAACCTCCTTAATCCAAAGTTTCTCTTGATTAAACCAGTGATTCTTGGAGGTAGGTGCACAGGAAGATCTCATACAAAGATTTTTCAAAAGTGTATGTGGATCATCTAGGAAGCTTTTAAAAAAATTCATGTGCTCGTGCCCTACCGTTGGAGAGATTCAGTAAATCTGGAGTGGGGCTCAGACACCTGTATAAGTTTTGATGGCTTCCCAGGTTATTCTGTGGGAATGCCCTGGTGGTCCAGTGGTTGGGACTCCGCGCTTCCACTGCAGGTGGCGTGGGTTCTACACCTGGTCGAACTAAGATTCCCGCAAGCCGCGAGGCACGACCAAAAAAAGAAAGCTTCCCAGGTTATTCTAGTAAGGCCAAAATTGGAGCACCACTGCCCTAAATCCAGAACCTATTTATATTTTTCCAGGCTTTGTTTTTTCTTTAAATGACACAGTCCGTAAGTTTACTGTCTATTGCATAAAAGAAATGCTACCTTTTATTTATATCCCATCTAATCTTAAATTTTATTGTTACATATTATAAATTAGGGGTCAGAGTTAACAGGTTCTATCATTTGTAGGAAAGAGGTATAAGTTGTTTCTCCAGCGGTAACAATTAGCCTGTGCTGATCAATAGTTTAAATCAGTCCTTCTCCCTTTGGAGATAGAGGTATTCAAATAGGTAAAAAGGAATTAGCAGTGTTCCGGGGATAGAAATTTATACAGCACATTCAAATAAAAGTGAGTAGTAATAATAATACCTAAGACTTTCTTATAAGCCAGGCAGAGTTCTAAGTGTTTTACATAAGCTCAGTCTAGTTTCCCTGAAGCCCAGGTTTTAATTAAGCCCAGGGATAGGGTATAAAAAAGCCTTGAGTGTTGAACAAAAGAATTCTTCCTGTAGGCAATGTGGGCAAAATGGAAGTTTTTGAGCAGAGAGTCATATCTGCAAGAAATATTATGGAAGATTATTTCAGTTGCAGTATATAGAATGGAATGAACATGGGTAGGGGGTAGGAAGCTGGGAGACTACTTGGAAACTAGATTTTAAAAGCAAGGCAACTAAGACTGTAATTAGGTATGTATTGAGAGACAAGTAATAGTTTTGAAAGAATTTCACAGGAAGGGCTAACATTGAGTAGAAGTGAAGAAAAACAGGAGATATATAGATGGAATTCAGGGGTGTTGGGTTTTTCTAGTGTGGGTGCCTAAAAGAAGTTATCTAACACTTATGGAGCATATTAATTGTCCTGCAGCCTTTGGCAGAAAGGCTTTGCTTTCCTGAGCTGTCCAGTGGATCTGTGTTAGCAACTTCAGTTTGATAATGTAAAAGGCATGTCTGCATCAAATGTATGAACCCACACTTAAGAATTTTCTGTCGTTTATAATCTTATTATTTCAGGATGTGAGAAAGTACAAGGGGGGTCTTGAATGGTGGGCCAACTTCTACATGGGCCTAAGAGGCTAGGCTAATGATCTAGAGGAGCACTGAATATTAAAAATATAATTCAAGCCACATACGTATATGAAATTTTCTAGTAGACACATGAAAAAGTAAAAACAATGTGAAATTAGTTTTATTTTATTTAATCCAGTATATCCAAAATATTCCATTAAATTTCAATATGTAATCAATATTTAAGTATTATTAATGAAATATTTTACATTTTGGGGGTTCCTGTAGAAATGTATTTTGAAATCTGGGTGTATCTAATACATCTCAATTTGGACTGGCCATATTTCAAGTACTCACTAGCCATATGTGACTAACGGCTACCATAAAGGACAGCTCAGGTTTAAAGAGAAAGGTATTGGGACTTCCCTCGTGGTCCAGTGGTTAAGACTCAACGCTCCCAATGCAGGGGGCATAGGTTCGATCCCTGGTCAAGGAACTAAAATCCCGCATGCTGCACGACACAGCCAAAAAAATAAAGAGAAAGGTATCCAGGTGGAAAAATACAACATGATCAGGAGGTAGTGAGCAGCCCAGTTTAACTGGAGCAGAGTGTTTATTCCTGACAACCGTGGGAGGTATCACTGAAAAGGTAGGTTATGAACTGTTGTGGAGGGCCTTGAATGCCATGCTCTAAGGAGTCGGAACTTTCACTAAGTTAAGAGTTGAGTATCCTTTAGGTTGTTGAGTCCTTTACTGTAACACAGTTAAAGGATGAGCTTAAGGAATGCCAGGCATATAAACCCCCAGTGGGTCTTTAGGAGGACCCAAAAGCTCTCAAAATCTCCCAATGCTCTGTATCCCAGAGCATGGGTGATGGGTCCCTGATCAAAATCAAGTGAATCCTTGTTGTATCTGAGATTGATGTAGATAGCTACACAGGCTGTTGAATCTTTCTTGTTCCTCCATGCCTTAGAGAGGTCCTTTGTACCTCTTAGAGCTGTGGGAAATAGGTTTCAGCATTAGACTGCGAGTACCACCAGTGTTTCCAAATTGTAAGAATTGGTCCCAGGGATTTCTTCCTGTCAGTTGTTCTGTTTTTAGAGAACCCCCCCACAATTCAGCCAACATTTACAGGCATACCTCAAAAATATTGCAGGTTCCATTCCAGACCACCACAATAAAGTGAATATTGCAATAAAGCAAGCCACACAAATTTTTTGGTTTCCCAGTGCATAAAAAACTTATATTTACACTATATTTTAGTCTATTAAGTGTGTAATAGCATTATGTCTTGAAAAAAGTACATACCTTAATTTAAAAATTCTTGTATAGAAAATGCTTACCATCATCTGAGCCTTCAGTGATCATAGTAGTAACATCAAAGATCACTGATCATAGATGACCATAACAAATATGATAATAGGGGGAAAGTTTGAAATATTGTGAGAATTATCAAAATGTGACAGACACGAAGTGAGCAAATGCTGTTAGAAAAATGGCACCAATAGACTAGCTCAATGCAGAGTTGCCACAAACCTTCAGTTTGTAAAAACAAATGTAGCACTATGAAGTGCAATAAAATGAGGTATGCCTATGTGTTAGAATTCTTGTAAATACTACAAAAAGTAATTATGTAAATACTACCTCTCACCCAATTGAATACAGTTCCCCTAACTTGGAGGAAAAAGAAATGCTGATCTCATAACTAGCCTTCAGATGTTCATTTGTCCAGTGCCTTACAATTTACAAAATGCTTTCACATAGATCTCATTTAATGATGGAAGTAATGACTACTTTTTACACACCAGGGAACAAAATAAGATGCTATGGAATTAAAATTGCAGGGAAAAG